CTGAACCAGCAGTATGCAGTGAACAGACTTCTAGCCCAGCAGTCCTTAAACCAACAGTACTTGAACCACCCTCCCCCTGTTAGTAGATCTATGAATAAGCCTTTGGAGCAACAGGTTTCCACCAACACAGAGGTGTCTTCCGAAATCTACCAGTGGGTACGTGATGAACTGAAACGGGCAGGAATCTCCCAGGCAGTATTTGCACGTGTGGCTTTTAACAGAACTCAGGTCAGTTTTGTTTTATGTGTAAATGGTTCCTCTCTCTCTTTTTCTCTTCCTTCTTTAATCCCATCTATACTAATGTTTATGCTCTTACTTTGTACTAACATTTTTTTCCTTCTCTCCCTGTGGTCATATTGTCTGTACCTGGGGGTGCCTACATTTTATCATTTCTCTGCTTATCGTAAACCTCTTCTACCAAGAGAAAGCTGTGTACAAATCGATCCTGATTCAGGGGCCTTGAAAGAATAAATATCGAACATATTTCAAACTGGCATTACCTATGCTTTTATATAATGGAATTATAGACTGTTAGTAGCAGATTGAGAAAGGTTTCAGGACTTGGTTAAGGCCATTTCATTGGTAGGGCTCCAGGCTTCTAGCCCACTATCCACCTTTCCTAGACCAGGGATCAGCAGACCTTTTCGGTTATAGGCCAGATAGTAAGTATTTTAGTCTTTGAGGGCCATAGCAGCCATAGACAGAAGTGCATAAAACTATTTACAAATCAGGCCCTGGGGTAAGCTTGGCCTTAGAGGCCTTAGCTTGAGACTTCTCACTGAGATTTGCATATACCCCTTGTGTTCACACCTTTGTCCTCCTGGGCAAATTCCTGTGAAGGTATTATCAGCAAGGAAGATGTTTAGCAGGATATGGAGAAAGGGTGATATACAGGAAAAGACCTAAGATAAAGACATCTGAAAAGCCCTAAAAAGATTGATTCCATTGGGCTTCTCTGGTGGCGCAGTGGTTGAGAGTCCGCCTGCCGATGCAGGGGCTCACGGGTTCGTTCCCCAGTGCGCGTCCAGAGGCTGTGCTCCGCAACGGGGGAGGCCCACGTACGGCAAAAAAAAAAAAAAAAAAATTGATTCCATTAAACACTGAATGAGGGGATTTTTAAAAAATGTCTTTTTTTTTGGAAACTAGTTGATATATACATGGTGTTTATTACACACACACACACACACCCTCCCCAGGAAAACCCCAGAAGAACATGTAACTTTGATTAGAATGAGGACATTATGTCCTTTTAACTTTTCTTGTTTTTGCCACTGTTCTTTCGTCAATTTTTTTTTGCCTGACTCATAATTTCCTTTCGTATTTAAGTTATTTTGTTTATTATATGATTATAAGAATAAAATCTGGGGGCTTCCCTGGTGGCGCAGTGGTTGAGAGTCCGCCTGCCGATGCAGGGGACACGGGTTTGTCTCTGGGTCCGGGAGGATCCCACATGCTGCAGAGCGGCTGGGCCCGTGAGCCATGGCCGCTGGGCCTGCACGTCCGGAGCCTGTGCTCCGCAACGGGAGAGGCCACAACAGTGAGAGGCCCGTGTACCGCAAAAAAAGAAAAATAAAAAATAAAATCCGGGTACAAAAATATCTAGTATTAATTCCTTGCTGGCAGTTTCCATACCTAGGAGAATCCCAGCTGTGACTTATTTTTGGCTTGCCTTCACTGGATTGAAACTTAGGAGGCCTTACAAAGCCTTTAACTCAGTGTTTGTTTTCAGTTTCTTTAACTGTGTTTTGTATCATCTGTCTGTGTTTAAAAGGGTGGTTGCAAAGTTATTTCTCAGGTTAAAATTGTATGGTTTTACCTAGTTTTATTAATATATCTTTACAACTTAAAATGTGTTCATTATTAGGTGGTAAATTTAATATGACACCCCTATTCAGTTGGAGGGTCATTATTTTTAAAAATTTTAAAAAATGAATGGATGAAAGAATCAAGTCAGCCTTCTAGCTACTCCTGTTTCTGGCAGCATCCTTTATTTTTGTAAATAGCAGTAACTACCAGTAGTTCTTAGTACTGGGCAAAAACCAGGCAAGTCTCTGCATAAAATTTGCTTGTTGAACTGAATTGAAAGCCCACAAAGACAGCACTGACATGGACACAAATGACTCACAGATTCAGTGGAAAGCATTTTGGAAATTGAGCAAATTGTTATTTCTTAAAGGACCAAGGAAAGTGTGTTTTATGTAGTAAAGAGAGTCTAGCTGAAGGTGAAAAGGGTAAGGTCACCACCCATCAGTGTGTTTTTTCTTCTGTGGGGCTGTAATGTCCCAGGCATCACCCTGGAGAGTGACCATTTGTTCTCCTTGGGTTTTCACGTGGACGGATTCCACAGATATCAAAAGGATTGGTTACTGGAAAAAAGACAGAGTTCTCTATTTTACACCCTATCAATCTCTTCGAAAAGGTGGTTATCTCTGTGGTTAACATTGAAAACAGTGACTTAATGTTTTCAAGGGAGAGAGGAGAATGAAACCCGGGTGCAGCTTGATATCCATCTCTTTATTAATAATAGCCAGTTGAGAAAGAGTCATTACCAAAAAATTGTCTGGAGCCCCGGATGACAGAGGGGTTTGGTTTTAAACCTGTATAGAGGTAATTGGGATTCCTCCGTCAAAGTGGATGATGGGCCATGTTTGAAGCTGTCTGATTTCAATGAGAGTCATTGTCTATGTATATTTAAGAGTTCACTTTTGGGGAATTCGCTTTGGAACACGCAAGCATGCATGTCTTTTTGGTGGTCATACCAAAACGCCACGCACACTCACGCGTACACACACAGCTGCATTTATTTTAATGATTATACATTCATATGAGTGTATGTAGTATGTTTATTTCAAACTGTGTGCATTTCAATAAAAGCAGGTGCATCGTGAGAGTGTATGGTGTGAGTGTGGAGGATGAAAATACACATGCTAATGCATATGTATAGAGCAGGAGCTCTGCAGAGTTAAACCGCACAGACACATTTGTGTGTACTTATTACAGTGTGCAATTCCGGCTCCAGGTTTTAAAAAAATTAACGTAAAATATGTACATACAAATGCAAAGTTCTCTGATGTGATTGGATAAAGACACTGGCATCCTATAAACAGTATGTTAAAACATTCATGTAATAGATAATGCTGTTGTGAGTTGAGAATATCGACAGCTCTGTATAACTTTAAAATCCTGGGTCTCATCTTTCAACTCTTCATTGGAGAATTTTCTCATCAGCTTAATTGGGTCTCCTGAATTAAAACATACGCCTCTCTTTTAAGACATTCCTGTATCACTATTTTTTAAAGTCGAAAACAAAAGAAAACAAAAAGATGAAAGAAAAATCTACCTTTTCTGAAAGCTTGTGATGAAATTTATATAATTCCTTGTTTTAAGGATGTTTCCCCCTTCTGAATTGATGGGCATATGTTCTTTAATTGCTACGGAAGGTACCAGCTTTTAGCATCTGTCATTCATTCAGTTATGCCTACTTGATGTCTTTTTAATGGAAACCCATGGCTAAAATTAATTGCTGAAGCTTCTAGATTTATACTTTTCAATTCACTTCTCTGTATTACTGCTACTTAAAGGTCGTGATAGAAGAAAATATATTCTTTAGTGCTCCCCCCGCTTTTTAAAATAAATCCCGTAGTGTAACTCTGATCCCATTCTGTGGCTTTCCCCCTTTTTTCTCCCCCCTCCTCTTGTCTTTGGCACACTTTATTTTCCAGTAAAATAAAGAATGAAGATGGATTATTCAAAACTGATAACAGTAATGGACCATCATGTAATGTTTTATTGAATTTGAGTTCTGTAAATTATGTGGTGGAGAGAAATTTGACTGCTTAAGTATAACAGAAATTGCTACTGTGTTCCTATAATTCTTCACAGTGTAATTTAAGAAAAGTTCACTCTCCATATCACTATTGAATAAAAGGTAAAAAGGTGCTGTTACCCCAACGTGACAGCTCTTGTTTGGCCTCCCAACCGACAGAGATAAATGTGTCTGCTTATAACTTGCTTGGCCTGAGTCCAAGGTAGGAGGTGGAGTTTGAAAGTAGTCTTTCACCTGGACATGTGATTAAAAATTCACCAAACAAGAGGCAGGTAGCCTTGAAGAATCTTCTGCATGTTTTATTTTTAGAGGGAGGTCTCATCAAATCATATTTTCCTTCTGAGGGCTTTGAAGTTCCACGAAGCTGATAAAAATCTATTTGAATCAGTGATTATGTTCAAAGAGGAGACAAACGGGAGGCCAGACAGGCTTTTTGTTCACATTGGCAGTCTCTTTCGCTTATCTGCTGTTTTAAAGAATTCATAATTAGCTTTTGGAAGTACTGATAATATTTATTGAAGGTTTTTCTTTCTTTTCCAATACTCATGAATTTTACTTGTAAACTCTTTCTGGAATGTAAAAAAGGTTTAGGTATTCATCAGCAAGTTCACTCTTTAATTGCAAACATTAGAAATCTCACAAGCACTATGGAATGGCGGTGCAGAATAATTTTACGTTTTCATGTATAGAGCACGTATTGAACAATTTGAAGATGTGACGTGCCATGAAAAGCAGCTTCTCGTTTCCCATAAAATTGATATCCATGAGGTGCTGGTAACATACTACATAATATACAAAATCGCAAGTTCTTTTTGGAAACAAAAATGACTAATAATTTTGTTTAATTTCATTCAGCAAATTTATTGAGCACCTACGGGGCATAATATTGGTAAATATTTTAGTCCTGGTATTTCAGCGATAGCAAGTATACATGATGACCTTGACATGTTATTTTTTAGCATGAAGAAAAGTTTTTGGTAAGAGGTGTCTCTTACTATCCACCATGGGGCATTACTACAAATGACCTTGACCTAACTTGGCGAGTCTTAACTGGATTTTCAGTCATGGGAAATGGGAAACAAGGGCCAAATACATCTTGAATCCATAAATGTAGCTACTCAAATAACAACAACCCAAACAGGACCAAAACGTGCATTCCCATATACGGATTCTAATGCCAGTCATTTCGCATCCAGAATTTTCTCAAGTGACATCATTCTCTTTAAAAAAGTAATTAACACATTCTAATCAAAACATTTTCTAATAATATTTTCAAGCATTTCCACCAGGGGGCACTCCCCTCATTGAAAGCCTGGGCCAAAAAAAAAAAAAAACAAAAACAAAAACACAAAAACCCGAAGGTTTGTAAAACACCTGAGACTGTCTACACTGTCTGCTTTCGAGCTCTGTGAATGTCCCAGGGTTTGAAATATCAGTCTAGACCTTCAACACATCCCAGGCAGAAAACCTGCACTCGCTCTAGTTAGAATAATTAAGTGGAAATAAAATGCTTTGCCCGGAAAACATTTCATATGCTCAAATGGGACGTCATGCTAACGTCAAAATATGAGTAGAGAAATTGCTAAATTCTCTCCCAGGTGACCTTCTATCTGTTACTTTAAGCCATACAGAAATGACTCAGTCTCACGTTAGCAAGACTTGATATCATTATGTATTTTTTCGTGTGTTGGCTTTCTCACCGTAGTTCTCTGCTGTCTCGGGTAACATTTGTAACGGAAAGAGATGACATTTTGTTATCTGAGATCTCTGAATGTCTAATTTCAAATTTCCCAAATATAATAACTTCTGTTTATAGGATCTCTTTTGACCTAAAGTGTTTTGTTTTTTTTATTGAAGTATAGTTGATTTACAATGTTATGTTAGCTTCAAGTGTACAGCACAGTAACTCAGTTTATATATTCTTATATATATTTTTTCAGATTCTTTTCCCTTATAGGTTATTACAAAATATTGAATATAGTTCCCTGTGCTATACAGTAGGTCCTTGTTGATTATTTTATGTATGTTGATAGTAGTGTGTATGTGTTAATCCCACACTCCTGTTTTATCCTTCCTCCCTTCCTCTTTGGTAACCGTAAGTTTGTTTTCTGTGTCTGTGTGTCTGTTTCTGTTTTGTAAATAAGTTCATTTGTATCATGTTTCTTAGATTCTGAATATAAGTGATACATGATACTTGTCTTTCTCTGTCAGACTTACTTCACTTAGTATGATAATCTCTAGGTCCATCCATGTTGCTGCAAAAAAAATTGTTTTAATTACTGAACAATTAGTGTAGATAAAACGTCTTACAAAGTGCCACATAACTTTCCACTGAAGGCTCACCTTGAGTACATTATTAATTACCGTTAGAATTTTCCCATGGGGAGCATATCTTGTTAAGTTTCTGTCACCCATTTGGAATTTTTTCCTTCTATGGTCTGAATACACATAATCCATTTAGTAAATATTTATCAAATACTTACATGGCAGGCATTGTGCTGGGATGACAAAAAAGAATATTAGACTATTGTACTCAGGGAATTTATAATGTATTTATGTGTACTGTATGTTTCTCTTTCTGTAGAGTTAAGATATATTGCTTTGTGAAATACATCTTTTAATATCTTTAAAAATTTTGTATCCCCATTTGGTAGGGAAGAGTTTAGAGCAAGGGCTGTTTTCTTTACACCTATTTTCAAACATTGTTTCTGAGACCTGTATTTCTTGGTTTCAACGTGACACATCAAAAACACAGTCAATCTAATTAGTTGGCCTTGCGCAAATTAAATAGCTGGGTGATTGACTGCCTGTTTGACTGAATTTTAGTTAAATTGACTGGATGTTTTGCTCATGTATAAACACAGTTGCAACATTACTTGTCAGTATTATAAATGAAAGGACAAGTACCCTTCATTCTTCAGTCACATTTCTTAGGGTGAAACCGGCTTCCCTTGCATAGACCAAATGAGAAACTAAAATGTACTCTTAAGCCCCCGAGCCTATTGGAGGATCTTTTTAAATAGCAGCCTATATAGATCGTTTTTGAAGTGGACACTGCTTTTATATTGTCTGTACCCAACTGTTATCTTGGGGCAATATGCTACATTTTCCTTGAGGAATTGGGAACAAAGCCAGGTTTGCACTTCTAGGAAACCATGAAAAAACCCCAGTGTTATAACGTTGGGGCTTGGTTGTTTTGACATGACACTTTACCTCCCTTTCCCAAAGGTACTACCCTGTTGCCATTTCTGCAGGGTTATTAGAAAGTGAAATTTGCAAATGATGTAGAGATCTCCACAACACTTTATTCTGAGCCATATTGTGATAAACTGAAATGTAGAAAGCAAACACGTCTTGGCATTCCAGGCATTTTTTTCATGCAGAAAGTTGAAGAGGTAAGGCCTGCTCAGTCCTTATCAAATGGGCAGAAAATGTTTCTAATCCTTGTATTTCATATAAGCCCTTAAACAAAATTGTGGAGAAACACCCATTTTTAAAATGCATTCTTCCAAAAATTAAAGTAGTAGTTAACAATTCTCTGTTATTTGGGGAGGAATACCATAAAGAAGTTTACTAATGGTTGGTGAATTTCTTCTAGCATTATTAAAAATGTTTATTCCTCAAGAAATTTGATTTTTACAGAATTTGATAATATTCTTTTTCTTGGCATGCTACGAAGGATTTTTGCAGTGTGGAAAAGGGGTTATGTGTTTCAAATTTAAAGGATGGTTTCTGAAGTTCAAATTTTCAACTTGTTACTCAGAGGTATATTGTATAGCAAGCAGTATAGTTTCCTTAAGCGGTAAATAGAAAGAATCACTTGTCATTGACTCCAATAATTTGAAAACCAAGGAATAATGTAAAATATTGCCTGCAAAAACATAGCATAAATCTTAGATGATGCTTTAGTCATATTCTTTTTCCTAGTATGTTACAATTCATTTTCGAGTATTTTCTTTATAAATCCTACTTCTCTCGAAATGGCTTTGTATCTTTACATATTGGGCTGTTGGCATTCCACTGCCTTTGTCTTGGCAGCTTGAGAACTATACAGTTCAGTGCTGTCGTATTATGAGCATTTCATTTATTCTTAACTTGCCTCAATCCTGTCTCTGTGAAAGATTTCATGGCAAGTTAAGCTACTCAAAAGGAGGAGACCAATTAGGCAGTTGCAGTTTATGTTATATGTAAAGCAGACGCTTAATAAAATTAAGAATACAATTGAGGCTCTCTTCTCTACCACTTCAGTTGTAACTAATATACTCCTATGTGGAATTAATGCTTCTGACTGTTCATTTTCTGAACAGAGTGGAGAAGAAAAGGAAAGGTTCACCGTGGGCTGGGCAGAGCATGGGGGCAAGCTCACCCTGTGCCTTTCATTCCCTGCAGGGCTTGCTTTCAGAAATCCTACGAAAGGAAGAGGACCCCAAGACTGCATCCCAGTCTTTGCTGGTAAACCTTCGGGCTATGCAGAATTTCTTGCAGTTACCGGAAGCTGAGAGAGATCGAATTTACCAGGATGAAAGGGAAAGGAGCTTGAATGCAGCCTCAGCGATGGGTCCTGCCCCCCTGATAAGCACACCGCCCAGCCGCCCTCCCCAGGTGAACTCTCTTTTTCCTCCTCACCTTTCTGCTTTTTGTTTTTGTTTTAAAAAAAAAAAAAAAAAAGTCTAAGGAAGAATCTCAACAAGCATGAGAAAGGTAGATGGATAGGGATTTTTTTTTTTTTAATAGTAGTTCATAGACTTGCTTGAGGAGAATTTGGTCCCAGCTCACTAATTCTGATATAAAAACAAGTAGCTACTAATTAGAGGGAAAAAAATTACTTTGTGTTGCTTCATTTGGGGGGTTCTTTGGGAGTGAAAAGTCATCTTGAAATGGGATATTTGGCTCTACTACTATGAAGTAAAAAGGTATTTTAAACTCAATAGGAAAAAAAGTAATGAAGTCCATTTTATCCCTGTGCGTTTTAGAACCACCATTTGAATAGTAAATAAATAAAAATAAATAATTCCATTTGTATTTATGCTTTCCAATACCAGCTGCAGCTGGTACCAATTACGCATCATCTCGTTTGTAATCTTTCATAATTAAGTTTAATACAATCCTTGAAGGCAGCTTTAAATGGGGCTGATAAGGAATTCCATCCATATTCCCAGAAATGGGCACATTTTCTATTTTCCAAATTTTTGCACTTTTTAGAAAGGACAGAAGTCACCTGCCAGGTAATTTTGTGTATGCGCATCTGTATTTTTTTTAATCGAGTTTAAAAGGTAACCTCATAACTATTATAAGAATTGAGAAGTTAATTTTCAGTACAACTATTAGATACAAATTTGAGTGGATTAGATGTAAGATCCACAAGCAAATATATTTCTTACACATTTAATTTGTGGCCTGTGCAGCTCTTAACAATGAGGTCAGCTAAAACGATGGAAAGTAAATATGGAATACTAATTAAAAGTGCTTATGTAACATAATGTCATAATGAAATTATCTCTTAATGTTGATTTCATCAATAGTAAAAAATGGTCATCCATTTCCAAGTAATAGAGATAAAACTCACTCAACACTAAAAGTGAAACTGCCATAGATACTCCATAAATAAGAAATAGACATAATATACAGCCACTTGTGGAGGGTCTTAAACTGCATATTGTAATGTTCCGAAATGATTATTGTTTAGAAACATCCCAAAGGTCCATTTTCTCCATTTTATTCAGTGAAAATCAATTAAGTCTTAATGTCTATAGGAGCAGACAACAAAGAAGGCATTGCTGTAATTTTAAGAAAGATATGTTTCTCTAAGCAGAAAAGAATGGCACCCAAATACATGCATACATATCCATCTGCCGACACACACACTTACTGAATTTGATCTGTTAAGCCTTCAATACCATATTTCTTACCAAAAAGAATGAGGAACTCTTTATATACATATATGACTTCTGTAAGAGTGATTAAACAAAAAATACTTGGACTTGATTGAACACTGAGTTTGTGGTGTTTAGAGTTATCATATGTACCATCATTAGTTAATTTTGCTGTTGCAGTCGTCATTGGAAGGCCTCTGGGCAGAGTTAGTTTACTTATCACTTAATCTTGCAATACTAACAAAAGAAGGGCTTACTTAAGACCAGTGTGAATGTAAGCGTTGAGCTGCTTCTCTTTTTTTGTTTTAATCTATCCAAATATTTGACTTGGTAGTTCCTTAATATAACTTTTGTTTTCTAATTTTCCTAGGACTTTAATGTTTTTATTTGTTTTCCAGATATGATTCTGCTTTCCTTACTCATCGTTTTTTGTTTTTTTAGCCAAAATTACATTAATTCTTAATTGTGATATTTATTTTTGTATACTATTAAGATACTCTGGGTTGCTTTCCTATATGTATGTCTAAAGACTATACCTGCTGATAAGTTGGGATAGAAACTATAATTTATTTTGGCCTGAATTACTGATAAACTGGTTGAGCCACCCTCAGCTGTATGTGTTTGTTCTCAAGAGGGGGTTGAGATCAAGCCTTTAGCTGGGATATTTAGCCAATGATGAATGTACTTAGATACTGTAGATTCTTAGTGAAGCTCTTTCAAAGAAAAGAAGTTTCTATTAACACAATACTATTGGCCATCTAACCACATTCTGAAATGATTATCTGATATGTGTGAATAATTTTCTTTCACTGCTTCATAGGGAATCCCTTTGCATTCCTTAATTTTATCATAACAGAGCTCACAACCAGTTTGTTCACCTTTTACCCTTTGACAGTGATTCAGTGAATTAAATTTTAGGGAATTTTTAATGTATTAAATGTATTATCAATGTAAAATGAGTACTTAGGATTTGGAAAAACGGGTTATAGAGCAGTTCAGTTAGTACCGTTTTGCAGCAGTTGAAATCCAGTGCTTAACCTGGAACCAATATACCACACATAAGGTTTTCATGTGCTTATTTACAAATGACTAAAATGGAAGGGGGGTAAAGGAGGAGACCACAGGTATAGAAAAGGACTGCAGGATTTTGTCATTTTATATTTTATATTTTGCCAGAGAGGAATCTATGTGAAATCACTGTGCATTTCATCCCCCCCCGCCCCCCCACAATGAAGGTATTCGAAATCTGTTTTGAGACTAGTCTTTGGCTTGGGTTGGACCGGAACAGTATTTCTTTCTAATGCTTGTTGAAGGCAGAGGTCCCTTGTGGCTCACTGAAGACCCAGGACACCTTTAGGCCTGAGAGACTGGATTATCTTCCAGCTTCTCTGAAGAGTTTAGGTCATATGGAAGATGATTGGATGTCCCTGGGTCCTGCCAGACCAAGGACCTAAACCATTGAGGAACTCAGGTTACAAATCATCTTCAAGAAAGGGCTTCCTTCAGGCCATGGGTGTTATTCTTAGGAGAACCTCACCAGGGAAAACCTAGACCAGCCTCAGGAAGCTCTTGGCTGGCTCTGCCTTGGCGAGATGGCTCCTCTGCACTCCTGTCCCTCAGGCTTCGGTAGGGGTAGCCACACCAGGAGCTTTGTCTTCTGGCTGGGGCAGTAGGCTCCAGGCCAGACCTGTTGGTTGAAAGCATATTTTCACAGTGTACATGCTGTGATTCAAGAAATATGAATACCTTGCACTTGACAATGATTCACAGTTTTCTCAGCACCTTCACATGAATGAATTCATGGAATCATTATACCAACCTTTGGTATGAGAAAAATGAGAAAAGTCAAATACTTAGTTTTCAAATCCCCTATTCAGTCGGATGCTCTTTCCCCTACCTCAAGCCACGTCCTCAGAAGACACATTTTAGAAAGGAGAAAATGAAACTCAGGGACTCTTTCTGTTTGTCGGAGAGGATGAGAAGTTTTCTTGTTAGGTTAGAAAAAGGAACACATGTGAAATATTCTTCTGATAGAATACATTGAATATTTGACAAATGGTCCACTTTGGAGGACTTTAGACAGTTGGGCATTTCTGAGATTGTAGAGAAAAGAGCCCTTTCCAAACTTTGGTGGTACGAGTACTTGGGAGAAACCAATCCCTCCAAAGCTCCATGGCCTTAAAGATTTCTTTTCTGACTATCACTTAGCAAATTTTCCAGATGAGTTTACAAGATGAATCTTATTAATCGTAATTAATTATTATTTTCTGGAAGTTGTCTGTTGCACTAAACATATCCATTTTAAGTTGATGGTTTCTATTTAGGTGTGCACTTATTATGGGTTTATTTGTGTGTTTTAAGATATGTGACTTTTGGAGTTAAATTTGCAATTTCTGTCTTCATAAGGACCATTTGAAAGCCTATAATTATCAAGTTATAAGTTTTACATGAATTATATAATATTTTTTCTTTTTTTAACATCTCTTTATGGCATTCTTTGGTTTGTTCTGAAGATGGGACATTTTATAACAATGTTTTAGAAAATGTACAAAGTTTATACCCATAGAAGCGATATATAATTAATTTAATCTGGTAGTTGCACACTTCTGTCTCTTTACAACACATTCTTCTATAGTATAATGAAACATAGGTTCAGTTGTGGGCAGGAACTTCACACTTGATAAAAGTTTTATTTGTTATGAATCCCTTGACCAGCTTTATTTTAAGATCACATATGTGCTTGGAAAACACTTCTCATTGATGGTCATCTTTTAAAAGCTAGAGGACTTTTGAAAGTCTAGATCTGGAAAATAACTAATATGGTTTCTACAAAAGTGTAAAAAGATAGAACCATGATACTCAAAACAGTGTTAATATATAAAAATATGAAAATGTGGACTGTTTTCTATCACCGATAGGAATTCCTCAAAATAGCACGGATTTTTTAAACTAATGATAAAACCATTCCCTACTAAAAATTAAGACATTCATAAGCTAGATTTAGCAAAGCGCCACCAAAAAGCAGGTGCAGCATGTCTTAAAAAATAATAAGAATTTTCCCCAATAAAGAAGTCCTATATAACATCATACCCTCCGTGTATTGCAGTGATTTCTAAGATAAGCATTGGTGTTAGACTTAAGTTCAGTTCTCAGCCTTGCCCCATGGACAAATTACTTAACCGCTTTGTTAGCTTCTCAATTTAAAAAATGGGGCAGTAATGTGACATTACCTACTCAGTGCTATTATGCAGGTTAATGTATGTTAACACAAGGCCCAGCTCATAATAAACAACTGATAAATGTGAGTCTCTCTTATTATCATAATTATTATTAAAACTACATCAAACTTTAATTGCATATGGGCATGCCCTCACGCCTGTGTGCAGTATGAGCTTGCAGGCAATTCCACTTGCATCAAGGAAGAGCACAGACGCCAGTCAGGACCACAGTAGAGTCCATTTTGTGTAGCCTGTATGTAGTACATATATAGTACGTATGTAGTATATATAGTTCACTTTGTAGTATGGGTTGATGAATTCAGCAGCGGTAAAGGAGCAAAAAATTCTCATGGAAAATCTGTGTTCTACTGAACAATTGTAGTGAAATAAAAAGCACACCCTAGTGCTACACCCTCTCCCCATGTGGGAGGGTAAATAGCAGAAGCTCCAATTCTTTACTTCCCTGGCGCCACCGTAATGATGGAGTGGTACACGCTACCTTGATAAATGCTATTCAGAAAGCAACTGCATGTATTTTACCTCCTGTGCTATTTGCAGAGAAGAGCTGAAGAGTAGTTTGTTTTGCCTGGAATGAACTACTTTATGAATTTTAATGTGTGATATAATATTAAAAGCTAAACCAGGATTAAAGAAGATTTTTTTTGAGCTAAGCTAAAATAGTACTTAGTAGAGTGAGGTATAAAAGATTTTTGTTTCCATTTTTACCTGGGGAAAAATTTCAGCTTTCATATTTTTGAAAAGCTGTCCAAGTCAGTTCCCCTTAAGCAATACCTTGTGTTTAGAGAAAAATGTGGTTCCAGAATTCTAATAGCTTATCTCTAATAAGATGCATATCTGAGCCAACAAGATGATAAGGAAGAGCTTTTCTAAATGTTTTTTAAATGAGTAATACAGTTTCTTAAGATTTTTAAAAGTTGTTGCTCTCACTTTTTTTTTTTTTTTTTTTTTGCGGTACGCGGGCCTCTCACTGTTGTGGCCTCTCCCGTTGCGGAGCACAGGCTCCGGACGCGCAGGCTCAGCGGCCATGGCTCACGGGCCCAGCCGCTCCGCGGCATGTGGGATCTTCCCGGACCGGGGCACGAACCCACATCCCCTGCATCTGCAGGTGGACTATCAACCACTGCGCCACCAGGGAACCCCTCTCACTTTTTTAATTTTTTTTAAGAACTTTTAAAAAGTACTTTAAAAAAAAAAAAATACTTCTTTATTTTTTAAGTACTTTTCAACTTTTGATTGTGTTGGCTACTAGGAGATTTTTTTTTTATGATTTAAAATGTTTGCTTTTTGATTCAAGTTGTAATTGCTTTATTAAAAAAAAAATTAAACCAAAGAAATTTTTGGAAACAAAATCACAGGGTTGAAACAAATGATTGTAACCCACCTCGAAGATAAATTCTTAAACATCATTTTTACAAAAGAATGAAAATGATTTTCAAAACACACTGAAACACCAAGTTTCCAAAGCCTGCCGTCTTAACTGTTGCTAAGCAGATGATACCAAGGAACTGTTTCTTCCAATGCCCTGAACTTCATGCCTCCATTTCCATAACATTCAATGTTCAAAGCGATTGAAATGGCTTTTCTTTTCTCTTTCATTTAAGCAGTGAAAAAAAATAGGTATTAAAGGGGACCCCATGTGGTGATCAAATCTATCCTTCTGCCTCAAAGCAAGACCACCCCAGAGCAAAGTTGCAAATCTCAGCAAAGCAACTTTGTAGGCAATTTATGGTAATGCATTAACTCTTCTGGCTCCTAAAGTGGTGTTTAGCAGATTACTGCTTCAAAGCCCTGTGTCTGTGCCTAGTGGCCCCCAGTCCTTAAGATGCCTCTGTGAGTTAGTGCCCTTGCTTACTGGAGTGCAGAACTGGCAGGGGAAGGCTGAAATCCAGCCTCTGCTCTTGCTGTTTCTGTCTGCGGATTATGCTTTAGGAGAGGCCAGTGAGGCCAGCCAGTGGGTCCCTTGTCCTGCCTCACCTTCTGTGTCCTCACTGGGGGCCTGTGGTCCAACCATTTCCCAGCATTATCCTTTCCGTGCTCCCAAGGGTAGTGTCCAGGTGGGAGAGTCTAGCTGCATCCTCCAGAGGTGAGTTATTTTGCTCACCAGGTAGAAGTTACGAGTCAGAAAGCACGTTGTAAAGGAGACTCAGCTTTACTCTCTCAAGTGCAGGGAATTAAATGGCTTAGGATAACCTCTGCCCTTCTTTTGTTACCAAATATTTGGGGGCAGGGTGAAATAAACATTAGAAGACTTACTTCTTCTAATGGGAGAAGGTGTGTCATTTAGTGCCCCCAAATCATTTGATTATCTTAAAATGAGCTTCATTTTCTGTTCCTAGTGGATGAGAGAAATGGCTCAAGATGGTAAGTTTCTAGAGAAGGAAAACCTGGATTCTGTAAAGGACCCTAAGAAACGTGGTCCTTGATGAATCATTTTGCCGGGAGAAACATTTTAAATGTTTCCCAGTAAAAAGCAGCTACATGGTTCATATGTGAATTTCCCAGGCTGGTTGGTTCCTATAAATGCTCAATAAAGATCAAATTTTTATTTTAAAGATTTAAAGTTTTAAAGATTGTTTTTAAGTTTTGAAGATTAATCATGGTATCAATAAATTTTGAGGTTGATTTTCCCCCTAAATTTTGTGTCATTTTTCTGCAGCTGTCTGCTTATCATGATTACCAAAGGCATTGATATTAATTTCTCACTCAAGATTATACATTTTGAATATATTTGTAAGTCACTGTTTATATATTTTGCGTAACTTGCAGTCATGTTCTATTAAATATTGTGAAACATTTTCTTATTGTCTGGTTCCACCAGTCAAAAGGAAAGAGTTATATACAGCGGTGCCAGGAAATGATGAAATAATTATACAGAACAGCTTGGACATGCATGTGTAAAATGCAACCAGCCTTTATGATAATTAAGCAAGGCACTCTACCTGTTTCATGGATGGATAGAAGATTTAAATGTGCAGCTCTGCAAATGGCTTTGTTATGGAAGATTTTTTAAATGAAACCATAAGAGGAAAAGGCATTAAAAAAAAAGAGTCTAAAATTAAAAAGGCCGTAGTATGTAATAGCTATTAGTGATGCTATTGTCTCTTAGGCATCGGGTACCCAGCGAAGATAGAAGATACAGCACTGTGCATTATGATTTTAATTGTGAATTTCCTTTGTTAGAATTGCAGTGGAAGGTAATTGGGAAACAATTAGTTTAGGGTTTTCAAGTCTTTGAAACTATTCCATTTTCCAGAAAACTTACTTTATGGCATTATAATTCCTGGTTGTCAGCTGGCAGTTGCTGTTGTATTACAGCTGCAGTCACCTGTGACACTATGACTTCCTTAACTTAAGCAGTCTGATATCCAGCTAAGAACTCATGTTGAATGACCGCATTGTTGATCACCTTGATCGTAAAAGGAGCAACAGTATCCAGTTTGGATGCCGAGCCTGAGAAGCTTCAAAACAGTTTGGCCAGTGGAAAATGACAGGCATGTTCAAAATGTTTTGTAGGTGAAAACAGCTACCATTGCCACTGAGAGGAATGGGAAACCAGAGAACAATACCATGAACATTAATGCTTCCATTTACGACGAGATTCAGCAGG